AATACAAAAGAAACACTCGTTGTAATGTTTCTTCAGTCATGTTTACAGTAATATTCGTTTTAATTACTTTCATTTGAGTTTGTTCTAATGTTAGTTGCACACGACTTGCACTTGCCATTTCTTCTTCAAATGATCTCTTTTTGGTCGGTTGAGGCTTTATTTATATTGATGATTAAGCGTTCCCACAGAATGTGGACTTGATGGTATTGTTTATTATGTATTTGTTTATTTGAAAAAAGAATTCGGAGTATTCAAAGAGACTTCGTGGATGTCTTCTATACATTGTTTTTTATATACTCTATTAACAATAGACCGACGAGAACAATTTTGGCACACTACCATCAAAGAGCATACATGAAAGAAAGCGATTATGCATTAATTAAAAAAAAAATTGAACCGAAATTAACCGAAAATTTAGTTCCAGTTCCGGTTACGGTTCAGTGAAAAATTCCGATTAATTTCTATTTACGGTTTTCGGTTCGGTTCCGGTTCAACTCTCTTTATTCGGAATTCGGAGTATTCAAAGAGACTTCATCGATGTCTCTTATGCATTGTTTGTTTATATACAATGTCGAAAATTTATTTTTTTCAAATGTCTGTATAAATAAATTTTTCAATTCAGCAATTTTTGTTCCGGTTACAGTTAGAAATTCCGATTGAATTCGGTTTACGGTTCCGGTTCGACTCTCTGATTCATATACAAGTCAAGTATTTGTAAATTACTTGACAAGTTACGAGTATTATTCATAAGTGTTTATAAAATTAATTGCGTCAATCAATAAAAAAAAACAGTTTCGTTTTTGTAACTACTCGTACAAGTACTTATACAAGTAACTTGGCAAATATCACAATTGTTTTAATTTAAATAAAAAAAAGGCATACTTACTATATATGCAAGTTTTCTCTCAAAACGCTTAACAATATAAAAGATTTGATTGTATAATTTACAAATACGTTTTTTTTTGTGCTTCATTGAAAAAAATAATAGAAATTTTAAAATTTTTGCACACATTGATTGATTGGCTACAAAATATAAAAGTAAGTGATTTAAAACTCAATACAATTTGATAATGTTAAAAAGAAACAAAAAAATCAGCAGTATTTTCATGCTTCGACGAAAACATTAAATATTTATGTTAAAGAAATATATACTTTACTCCATATTTAAACTAAAAATATACGAAAAAATTTCGGTAAAATTCTATCTAAATCAATTAATGAAAAATTTCAATCAATAAATTCTGCACTTGATGAAAAATTTCAAACGAAAAAATTAAAAAAAAAACGTTATGTAATGAAAACATTTATTTGCTTAACATCTCTTTAGCTTCTCGCAACAGGTGTAGTAAACAACGAAGTAGGAAATACTTTCTGCAAATATATATTTTTATAAACGATGGAAAACTTTGGTAAAGTACATTTAGAAAGTGTGACTATTTTTAACTATGAAAAAAATCAATTTTACGGATAGTTAGTTGAATAAATCTCTGTAGTTTCAAACCAGAAATCTTTAGTATTAATAGCTTTTAATAATAATTATGGCTGAACTGGTTGTTGTGACACAGTTACGCAATAAAATTCATATGCAAAACGGAACGAAGCGCTTAATAATTGACAAAACGAAGTTGCATCACACACACACTTCGCCAATTAACTTATTCTCGGCACTGCATCATCATCCAATAAGGCAACAACCAGCACGTATATTCTAGTAATGCAACTGCAGTTTAAAGAAAATCAATTTGCGTGTGGAAACGTTTATTATATGTAGATGTATTATATTTATATATAAATATATATAGTGTTTCATTCATGTAATGAATACTTGCATGCAGCTAGACTATGCATTCAATGTCGAATTCGATAATGGAACGAAGTGAATAATGTGCGTTTCATATAGATATGTCGGCGACGAATGTGTGTATGTGCAATGAATTGAAAGAGTCCACTTTATTTATTTAGGTCGCGTAACTTCTGTAATTAACATTATCTCAGTCGGCGCGATTATTCACCAATTATCATCTTTGGATCCAATTCAATTCACTTACAGTTTTATTCCACATCAAATGAGATGAGGAATAAACAAGATGTAAAAATGGAACTGTTTTTATGCGTGCACACGCGGATCTACACTCAATATCTTTATTTTTAGTCTGTTTCCATCCAAACTATTGTTTTTTTTACTTATTACCTGTGATTTATTTTGGATTACTATTATTTTCAGTTTTATTGGTCAGTTTTAAATATACCTATAAATTTGTTACTTGATAGAATCAGAACAATTTTAAAATCAAGCGATTTTGTACAATCTTCTTTAAATTTGTTAATAATATATTAATAAAATTACATCAATTACAAAGTGTGAATTTCAAAGAATATTATGAATCATCAGTTTGTTTGAAATAATTTTGTTAAGATTTGTAATGAATTACTAAACGTGTTTAATGTATCTTTTGCAAAAAAAAATGTTTGCAAAGAGCAAACATAATTTAAAACAAATTTACTTTGATGACTAAAAAGTTGTAAGGTTTGAATCTCTTTGCATGAAGTTTGAGTATACTTCATAAAACTTAATTTTAGTTCCCTAACAGATTATGTGCATTTATTAATTACATTATATATACAATTATTAGCTATCAAACTTAAGTTTTAAAGGAATTTGAACGTATGAAATCAAAAGAGATATTTTAGATTTCTCAATTCGTTTTCATGTAAAAATGTATGTAAAACAAAACATCATATATTTGCAGTACCTCGTACAGTGCGGATTATCAAGTAGGACTAATCGAGGACTTTAAAACCTCTTAAAATAATAATGAATTTTGTTCAATTAAAATTTAGTTCGTTTTTCAATTTTCTATAGTGAATCCGCACTGATGGAAGCCGGACTGTACGAGGTATTACTACGTGGTTTGAAATGAATATGCGTTTCAATATTTACACGATAATTTCATACAATTGTTGGATTGTAGTCTTGATATAGCATGGAAAATAAATACCTCCACTCTATTAGTCTAGACATGCGTGATACGGCGCTAATTTATTGTTGACCAATGATAACATTGTGATCGGAGGTTAAATGCGCTCTAGATTGATGTAATTTAGCACTTGTCATATAAGAGTGTACAACTAAAGTTTGATCTAGAAGGCTGCGAAAAAAAAAGAATAGGTAATGAACGAAACGTGCAATGCGATAAAATTGAATCATAATCCGTGCAGTTTTACATATTGGACAATTTGCTGGTTTCAATTCAAGAAGCGAGCGTTATTAAATCCTGAGTCTGCACGTTTCTCCTTCCTATTCCTTTTGATATCCAACTCATGCGAACTCATCCATTTATTAAGGCCCTTTTGCATTCTGATGCAAGCCAGATGCTCCATATTCCCAGTTGCAAAATTCTCTGCATCTCTTCACATAAAACATGTTATTCCTTACTTTACAACTCACAATTTATCAATAATACAAAGAAACACGAACTTATTTAATGAATAAAGAATCTCGTTATTACAAAACTGACATCAATTTCTTTTGGTGAATACAATCACGCATGATTTAACTTCTAAATAAAGCTACGATTCCCATCGTAAAATGTAAAATAATTCATGAAATGTTCAAATACATTTCCGGCTTTTGTAATCACGAAACGTGCACGTTTAGTATCGTTGCAGCTACGCTTTTATTTATGTTTTTATTCGAATCTTCCAAACGCATTTCCTTTATTAACCAATAAAAATAAAATACACTTTCCCATCTTCGACTATAAACGAAAGAGCTTCACAATTGACGCTACAAAGAATCGGTGAATCAGTTTCGATCTTTCTTTTTGTAGTTTAATATTTTTTTGACAATAACTATATAGTTATTTTTTGTAAACCATTTAAATACGTTCTTCAATATTGTATTTTCTCATACTATTATTAATATTTATTTTACAGGAATTCTCATTGTATACTTTAACTATTAAATCGAATTGGAAATTAATGGTAATCTTATAAATATTGGATTAGATTTAATGGATTTGGTAATTAACATATAGAATTAATCCAAGTCTAGACTTACAGTAATAATATATGCAAATTAAACTCATTAATTATATGAGAAATTGTTTTTTTTTTGTATGTAATTATATTCATCCAATTATTTAAAACATTTTATATTAAAAATTTCTCTACTTTTTTAAAGTGATAAAAAATATTGGGTAATAAATGTATTTTTATGCTGAAAATGTGAAATAATGTAGAAATCACATACATTTCCATGGAGACACATATTTCGCATAAAGTCAGTCTTGACATACTTGATTCATATTTGAAATGAATAAAAAAGTTCAGGATATTTGCTTCAAATCGGACGTTTCTTAAATGACAGATATATGAAGATTCTAATAAGAAATACACTTTACTACTGTTTAGTTTGAATGAAATACCTGAATGAAAGATGATATTTTGTAAAGTAATTTAAGTTTACCTTAAAACTAAATATAAATTAAAAGTCAATATTAGGTAATAATTTGCAGTAAAGTTCTTATCAACTTATAATTTTCAAACAATGAGTATAATAATGTTGTTTAGAACATTGTAATTCGTAGCAATGAATACTATAAGTATTAGAGGTGTGTAATAAATCTCGAGAAGAGCATGAAATCAATGACTGAAGGCATTTTATTAAACTCTGTGCACCTGGTGCAACAAAATCGTGGTGTCTGGAAAAAAACAATAGTGGAAATAATATTCGCCAACTAGATTAAAGGGCAGACAGAGAAGGAGCAAAAAAAAGTTTGTCGCGTCCTGAAAAAGGGGATGGTTGTATATATAAAGTGAGCAAAAGGATGAAGAAGTCGGGGGGCGACAGACTGTGCTTCGAGTTCAACGTACACAGACAGAGGAGAGCTGTTGGGAAAAATAATGCACACACTCGCAGACACGAAGAAAACCGGCTTCCACAAGCAAACGATCACATAAACTCATCCTCATTCACATCCATTCGTCCAGAATCTTACCTTTGCCATGTATCGGAACAGTGCAAAGCCTTCGATTTCACCCTCAGAGATGTCCCACACACACTCACACAACAACAGTCACACAGAACACACACGGTGGTGGCGGCGGCCAAATGCGTGCACACGACCGGCGGCGGCGACGGCTTCCTCTCGAGCTTACTGCTCCGCAAATGCTCAATGTTGATTCGCTGTCTGCTCGATCTCGCCCCTCCTCAACAGCTGGTTCTTCGATTTCTATGGTTCGCAAACCCTGGCGCCATCTCTGACCCTCGGTCCTATCTTCAGGTGCCCTAACTCACCTTCGTAGTTACCTAGATAACTTTCTTTACCTGATGTTACCACGGCAACCAGCGGTTCTAAACTGAGCTGCATACGTTTGAACGTCTACTTCCAACATTGCAGGAAAGCTACAACTTAGTAAATCGAAAAGAAGGACAACGCGCATTTATTTTATAATTCGGCTGAGATAGAAACAAAGGATATTCAAAAAATCAACTCTAAATTATGATCAAATATCAAGAAATATCCTAAAATCTCATTCATCATACGTTGTTTAAATATTTTTTTATCATCCAAAAAGCAGTGACGTAACGCGAAATCAACATAATAACAGTAATTTAAGAAGAGTGGGCTGCTACGCCACTGACCAATAGTATATCTCATATAAGTGGAAAATCGTTGTAATCGTTCGGTGGCAATCGCAAGCCCGACAATCCAGACTGTATCGAAATCCAGGCTGTATCGAAATCCCGACTGTATTGAAATCCCGACAGTATCGAAATCCAGACTGTATCGAAATCCCGACGATGGAAATCCAGACTGTATCGAAATCCCGACAGTATGGAAATCCAGACTGTATCGAAATCCCGACATTGGAAATCCAGACTGTATCGAAATCCCGACATTGGAAATCCAGACTGTATCGAAATCCCGACGTTGGAAATCCAGACGGTATGGAAATCCCGACATTTGAAATCCCGACGTTGAAAATCCAGACTGTATCGAAATCCCGACATTGGAAATCCAGACTGTATCGAAATCCCGACGTTGGAAATCCAGACGGTATGGAAATCCCGACATTTGAAATCCCGACGTTGAAAATCCAGACTGTATCAAAATCACGACAGTATNAAAATCCCGACTNACCATTGAATTCCGAAAGTTGAGAAATCCAGACTGTATCGAAATCCCGACTGTATCGAAATCCAGACTGTATCAAAATCACGACAGTATCGAAATCCAGACTGTATTGAAATCCCGACGTTGGAAATCCAGACTGTATCAAAATCTCGACATTGGAAATCCAGACTGTATCGAAAATGTGTACAATAACATTTTTAAATTATTCCGGAGCGTAGTGACNTTTAAATTGTTATTAATAATAGATAATAACAATTAATAATCTAATTGTATTTAAGATTATTTCATAATGTTAAGGTTTATTATGAATAATTCAACAAAATCAAATAAATTAATAATAATGTGATTGTCGAGATTTCGATAGATGGTATTTCGGGCTTGCGATATATCGTTTCTATCTAAAAAAAAAGGAAGGTTTCCGATGGGAAATCGTTCCGCTCCACGCTTGTTACTTTGTTCTTCTGTTTTGATTTCAACTTATTGCCAATAAGGTTGACTGGTTGTGAATACGTAATAAAGGATTAAACAAAAATCGAATTGTATGAAACTCCAGTTTCTATCCTTCCAATATCAAAATCTCTGAAGTTTGGAGTAAATATTTGGCAATATCAATATCTTTTATGACAAAAGTCCTAAGTCTGTTCGATGTCCACTTTTCAAATTTAGTTAGTATAATATATTTCTTCAATACAAGTTTAAATAGTTTTCAATTGAAATCGTGGGAATATTCCAATCTTGAACTTACTTTTATTAAAGTTAATTTATATATGTGACACTTAGTATTACATGAAATTTAATACGAATAAATGTAAAATGTAGTTTTTTTTAAAATGAAACTGATAATTGATAAAAAAAAATATATTTAAGCAGATTTGTAAACATATAAAATACAATAATTTTAAAGTTTTTGTGAAATGACTTCTTTTTTTTAAATAATTGTTAGCTTTATACGATTAAGTTTGTGTATTAAATAAACTTTCAACAATCGCATTAGCTATACCATTTGTATAAATGTTTAACAAAATTTTACTTTAATTCTCTCTAAATTCAAATTACTATGTTGCAAACAGAATGCAAGTAATTACATTTGAAATTGTATTTTGTGCTTAAGTGGTAGCCTATGTCAAATTAGTAATATTTACTTTTAAAATCGTATATAATCCAATCTGACTAATTAGAATAGTGCGTATAAAATAATTATCAATATGATAATGTTAATGTAAACATGAATCTATTATTATATTAATAAATTAATTAAAATACAATAGAGATATTGAAATTAAATTTTATTATAAATAACTATGTACAAAAATCATATTTACAAGAATTATTAATAATGGTTTATTTATAGGTTGTTTGTAGATGTTAATTTGCAGTTGTTCTGTTGATCCATTTTGTTCAGATGTTGCAGAGGATATTCAGAGATTTTGCTGATGTTATCTCTATTGAAAGATCCGCTTTTCGAACCGATCTTCGAGATGGGTAGTTCCACGCTCACGATGGTCGTCAAAACGGAACTTCTGTGGTTGTTTCCGGTAGCGCTGTGCGCCTTATTCACTTCTCCCGGATTCCTCCTGTACTGTCCTCCGGCACCGTAAGGTAAAGGTTTCCCACCGATAGCGCCTTTATGCCTTTCCGCTCTGTCCTTGCAAATACCGTACCTTCCCATCAGAATGAAGAAATCCCGTCGGTACTGTTGCGTCAGAAGCGTGTAGAGGCACGGATTGGCACAAGAGTTCAATGGGTAGAAGAAAACTAGAAGAATTTTGGTTTGCGTTACAGTTATCAGTGGATATCCTAGGAGAGCGGTAAGACCGAAGAAAGCTATTGGTGCCCAACACGCGAAATCCGTGAAAACCAGAAGAGCCATCCGTTTAGCTACGGTTAGATCTGAGCGTACGGACGTGATGGAACATTGGTTCCCGCCTTCGCGGATCGATCGATACATGCTAGCATAACATACGCAGATTATGGAAAACGCGATCGCATTGAAAGCCAACAGCGTGGACAAATAAACGGTATCGGCTTTGCCTTTGTTCTCCAATGGTAGACATATGCTGATTCTCGAGTAGCTGCTTATGCCGAACAGCGGAAGCGATGCCATGCAGATAGCGCAAAGCCATCCGGCGAACATGACGCGAACTGCGGTTCGCAGCTTCAACCTCTTGTTCAGATGGATGGCCCAGGTTATGGTGTACCATCTCTCTGTAGTGATCACGGCCAACGTGTAGACGGATAGGACGTTTCCGAAGATCGTAAGGAATCCGGCCACCTCGCATCCTACACCTAAATATAACTAGTAGTATTAATGACGAACGCAACAATTGTATTGTTATTGAACCTTCTTGCCAATCGATGGCGTAATTAAAGTAGACGCCTATGGATTTGGCATCGACGACTGCGATCAGTAGCAGATGGATTCCGATGCAGAGATCGGCGGTGGCCAGGTTACACATCAGGAACTTCGAGACTGTCAGACGGAAATGCGAAGTGGCTATTACGATCACTACAAAGAGATTGCCGATGACCGCTGACAATGAGATAAACCAAACTGGAACCCTCAAAGCCCAATTCCCCATCAAATCCTCGCAGGGATTAAACGCGTCTGGCTCTGGATAGCATTTCACCTGCAACACAGAAAGGGAACACCAGTGAAAGAAAAAGGCCGAAGGGCTCAATTCCGTTCGATTGATTGAATTCAGTCAATCCTAACATTGATCTATTTATCTAACCTCGTATATAAATTTTATATTTCTTACACGTTGTTAATTTTCTAACAATTTTCATTGCAGCAAGTTAAAATTACAAAAAAAAAATCTTAATTTGATATATTTACTTAAAAAGATACATCTTCTGTTTTGAAAAATAACTTACATTACATATTTTCTTCTAAATATTAATAAATTCTTAAATTATGAAGCTGTTCAATTTGTGTCAAAGTGAGGGACTGTTGAAATACTCTAGTAATTGTTTTTCAGTACAACAACAAAAAACAAGTATGTTGAGTTTCGAATTTTATGTTAAAAAACAATTGTATCTCAGTACAATTACAAACAAATATGACAAACAAGATTGAGAAAAAAAAGATTGAGAAACGCTAAAGACTACTCGATCAAAAATCAAATTATTTGATACTAAGCCGCAAAGTTTGGATACAGGATCAGCAACATTCTAAGTTTTGCATATTTTTTAACAGAATCTCGCTTCATCTAATAAAAGTTTCTACTTATAAGTTGTATGGATTCATTAAACTTCAAACATTATCTCAGATATACCATCATTGGAACTAAATTGTCTTCTTAACTAAATGGAAACTTTTATACAGTTTTATCTAGAAATCATTTACTAATACGGGGCAATATTTAAAGTACAGCAATATCTCGCATATTGAACTTTTCAAAACAAACTAAATCTTAATTGATCAAAATATAAAAATTAGTATACATTTATTATTGTGCTGTTTATTGTTATGTAGTTTTAAAGTCCTCGATTAGTCCGATTTCAAACAGTCAAAGATCTTAACTAAACCAATATTTTGCTTAAATAAATACTTTAAATTTGAAATCGAATCTTTTAGTAAAGTGATTGCTCATAAATCACATTCATTGTAATTCCGCAATCTAGAACTGGCAATTAATTAGTCTATTTTGTAATGTAGATATAAATCTTGGGAAGGAGACGTTTCGAGTTAAAAAATTGGTTTGGTAACAAAGGAACAGAGGAGAGAGCGATAAAGGATCGTACACACCATCCAATTTATTTATATACCTTCGTCGTATTCGATTCGTCACTCTCAGTGGTGCATGGGATCCTTGTAGGAATCGATCAGTTAATTAGTGTGAAAGATTGTATTGTTGGTTTGGTGAATGGAAATAAACTTTTACCTCATGGTAGTCCCGATAAATCTCTCCGCAGATGACAGTCGTCGCAGGAAACCCGTCGGACATCTTCAAGGTGTCATTGCGAAAGACCTCCTCGTCGTGCCACCAAAACTCCTCATCCATCGTCTCCTGAGCAACGATGCTCGTGTTCAGCGGCAACAATCGAAGCACCGCTTTCAGAGCGGGACTGTGCTGATCGTCCTTGAGGACGAGTCCCACCGTCGTCAAGTTCGTCGACGAGCACATGGCCTTCAGCTGCTGCACGAAGAGCTGATGCTCATCGAATTTCCTGGGATCGTGCGTGTCCGGAAACTTAAAGGCGCAGCAATGATAAGGGTACGTCAACCAGGCCTCCTTGATGTTCTGCAAACGAAACAAAAAATAAAAACAAAGAAGACACACACTAACGAGATTCTCAAAGACTTCTTCCATCAATTTACATTTTTAATCTCTGCTCGTGCAAGAGAGGAAGAGTGATTACGCAGGGACTTTAATTAAAAACGCGACTAATTATTTATGCCCGCCCTCGGCAAAAGAAATTATTTTTTTCTTATGACCGGAAAAGCGCATACCAAGTAAACATTAGGTAATTTGGTTGTGGGTAGTGAATAATTTATACCTAAAATCATTAATATGAAAGTAGAGAAATGTCAAATTGAACTTTAAATATTAATTTTGAAATTGTTAAACTTTGGAAAGTTTGCAGGAGACTGTAAATTGGAAAAATCAAGTGAAAAGTTATTTAAAAATAAACAGTTTTATTTACTTAATATGTTATAAATATTTTCGTAAATTTATGCTTCAATCGTGAAAATCGTAATCTGAAAAATCGATATTTCGAACGCGAATTGCTTATGACGCAACTTCCCCGCTGGGGAAAACATTAGAGAAATTGTGCCTTCACCATTCATTATGCATAAATATTCGATGTTAAGTCGGTCTTTATCAATATTTACAACTTGCAACTCTCCCCCAAAAGCTGGAGTGAAAACACATAAATTATTTTATGACAATCCGGCTGGAACTCAAATTGCTTCCGCCACCGATGTTTCGGTTCGGCTCCGGCCTTAACTTGATCTCAGCAATAATTGTGTTTTGTTGGTTTAATAAACTGCTGTAAACTTATATGTTTTCATTACACAAGCAAATATTTAATGAATAATGGAAATATCCAATAATTTATTGCTAACATCAAACATATATTTTCAATGGACATTTTTTTTACTATGCTGTCACGTTTTCATAAAGTGACCCAAGTCTCAGGAAATTATCTAATTTTCGGGATTATACTTGCAAGAATCAGATTCAAAAGAAGTTGAAATTATATGATTCAACAGCAATGAAGACACGCACTCTAAAACTTATGAAATCGATAAAATCATTCAATTTCTAGTCATAAAAATCAAATAATTCTGTTGATTCTGTGTTTTTTTGAAAATTTATTTTAAAAATCATTTATAATATCAATGGTATAAATTTTACGAACATTGAATGAACAGCACCCAATAATTGAGAGTGTAAATTTGTAGATTAAGCACATAATTAATTAAGAACTCATAGTTAATCAATTGGATTGTTTTAATCTCAAAAATGAATGGCAGAAATATGAAAATTTCTTATTAGATTTTTTTTTTTAATTTTATCTAAAGTTGTTAAGAAAGTCTTGCCTTTTGTCGTCAATTATAGAGAGCACCGCGATTGTAGTTCGTGAGTAATTTAGAAGAAAGTTGAACGATGTTAAATCCCCTTTCATTATTTATTATTGTCGCTACTTACTTGAAAGTTGTAGACTGATGGAAAAACTTTGAGCGTGTGGGTGTCGCGTACTTTCAGCACGTCGATTTCGTGCATACCCTCGACAGGGATGGATTCAATGGCCGTGCTCGAAAGGTCTCTAAATAAACAAGGACACACAAACACATAGTACATAAAAAACAACTACTTTAAAAGTAAATTTGCATTGGAAAATTGAAAATTCTAATAACAACAATGAAATAATTGTATATCTGATTAAAGCCAAAATCTCGCACTATTTGAAACCGGACTAAATGAGGTCTATAAAATCATATAAAAATAAACAGCACAAAACAAACTTGACTACAAATTTAGTTGACCGCACTGTATGAGGTATCACTGAATTAATATTGATGAATCATCCTTAATTTATGGGAATGTATCCTATGGGAATTATGGAAATGGGAAGGATTGAGATATGTAAGACTTCTAATAGAACTATTCGAGATTTCAACTGTGTTTCAGTAACTTGGATGCAAGTTGGAAACTTTTATTATGTATTTAGTTAATTACAGTTTAAAGCTGCGCACGACGTAAGCTCCGAACGATGGGAACTTCAACATGTGGTTCGAGTGCACGAGCACTAGATTTATTAGGCGTACTTTAAAATTTACAATTGCGTTTACTACATTTCATTCTTAATTGTTTTTTTGGAATCGATTCTTTTAAGAATTCTGGGATACACTTGTATCCCGCTGCAAAATTAAAAACACTTTTAGTACATTCAATTTGCACTACCAGCGGGATTTCAACTCTAAATCAGAATTACTTCACCTTTAAGATATTTCATTTTAAAGTACACCAGCGCGCGTTTACAGTTCCATTATCTCTCACGTCGCAGCTTCATTTCTTTTTTTTTTAAATATATATAAGACTACTGAGATGCGTTTAACGTTTCGCTAACGACTGCACACTTGTAAAATGCAAGATGAATATCCGGTGGGAAACATTTTCCAGTTTATGATTTAATGAAATTATCATTAACATAATTATTTTAGTTTTATTGTAATATAAAAAGTTAATTTAAGTTGATGTTAAGTAGAAAACGAATTGTATTAATTTTAAAGTTTCCGATGGATTTTTTTTACTAGGATGTGAAAGAAAGAGCGGAAGACGAGGAACGAATATTTCTTCTTTCTAATCAGGAAAGTTCGACATGCAGAAATTGGCATAACTCACATATCTCTTAAGCTTTGCAATCCGGCGAAAGCCCGGCTGTGAAGATTTACCAGACGCAAATTGCCTTTAAAACTCCTGCAAGATAAAAAAGATGATAATATTTGATGGTGAAAATATGTCGTCGGAGTGTACGAAACTTACAGCTTGGCTATTTCGGATCCGTAAAACGCTTCCTCCTCGATAGTGCGCAGATCATTGTAGTCCAACAGCCTGCAAATAGATAAGGGATAACATGTTTATCATACAGTTTGTGCTCGTGTCCATCCAAGACCACGAGTATTGAATATTGATTATGATTATGATTTGCGATTATTTTATATACTATACAAAAAAAATGAAATAATGAAATTTAGTTTATAAAATGAATAATAGAGGGAGCCTATCATAAATGACGTCGATATTGGGGTAAACAGACCGCAACGTGTGAATATTAAACACTGATGAATATTGAGTAACGTCAATCCGTTTTGATTGATTACTGGCGCACGTTAATTCGGTAACCCATCCAAAATTTACGAAAACAAAATGCGAATTGCAATTCAAACACGTCGCAATTAGTCAGCAAACTTGATTACAAAAAAATGGAAATATTTTAAATTAATTAGAGCTACTTCAAGTTGGTAATAATGGAAATTAATTGGAAAGCTTTTGGTTGCCAACCTGCGAATACGAAAATCTCAATTTTACCAGAGCAGGATTAGGACGCGGTCGCCGCAGTACGTGATTTCCGTGCGATCAATTGATGTGCATGAACAAACTAGGAAGCGCACGTGGCAAGTACCATTGAAATTGTATCTTTTTGCAACTTTACGTTCAACTTTTATATTATTGTATAATATAAAAGTGGTTTAAGTGGAAATTCAATACTTACAGCTGTTCCGCTTTTACGTTTGTGATTTGATGAGATTTTATATGTTGGATACGGTTGTTCTCGAAATCCCTGAAATACAATAACAATTAATTCATTTATTTATCTTTAATTTATTAAGTTACTTCATTTTTGAATGCGAATTAAAACTAAATGAAAGAAAACACGTTTCATTCTCTAAATATCCAGTTTTGATATGCATATTTTGGCTCCATTCTATCTATTATAGTTTCTGAAAAAATCCCTAAAATGTGAAGACACTGCTTTTTCGAACGTTAATTCTTCATTATTTCAAGTTTAAACGCGAATTACAAGTAAAATGAAGAAACCACAGAAATAATTGAATACATGATCATGCATCTTCTGGATCCAATCTATTTATATTATAGATTCCGAAATAATCACTAAAATGTGAATTACAGCCAAATGGATGAAACCACAGTATTATATGATTAATCGCTAAATTCCCCAAATGTCGAAGTTTTATATGCAAGTTTTGGATTCTATCTATTATAGTCACTAAAATATGAAAACACTGCTTTTATCGAGCATTAATTTTTATATTTTTTCAACTTCAAACGCGAATTACAGCCAAATGGTTGAAATCATAGCAATCATTAAATACGTTTTGCATTCCCCAAATATCCAAGTTTTATATACTTCTTTTATATCCATTCTATCTATTATAATTGCTGAGAAAATGAAGATTCAATTTTTGTTTGTTTGGCGATAATTACGAGCGTAATTTATGTGAATTTCAATGCACAATAGATTTGAACGTTTTAATATCTGCAGTTGGCATATTCACAAACAGGTGAACAAAGAGCCGACTGTGAATAGAAAGGAGGACAAACAATAGTTACGTGTGAACGTGAAATAATATTGAAGTATTGTATAATTCATCCATAATTTTAATGCAATTTGCTTGTAGACGTGTACGAACCGATTGTATAACTGAATCGAAACGCGATTAGCACTAAATTGTTAAATAAATCGACGTCTGGCGGGGAATCCCCGATGTCGAATTAGCATCGCGGTAATTGTAATAATGACAGTGACATGTGGCGTTTGCTGTCGTTAGACTAATGGTCGGCAATGAGAGCGATGCGATTTAATCCCGCGCCAAATTTAAACGGCAATTCCAAAAAGTCATCCGGATAACATTTCTCTCACTCATTTTCCCTCAATTTCCCATTTTGCGGAGAGAGAGAGTGAAGAAAAAAATAAGTAAACCGAGTGGTGGAGACATTAAAGTAAATCGTGCGCATAATGAATTCAGTTTGGTGGACTTACATAATAAAGAGCACGGAAGAATCGTAGAAGTTTAGGTAGGGCATCTCCTCCAAACCGGTGCTGACAATTCGCCTGTAACAAATATCAACAAAAAAATCAACAATTTGGTACAAAAATCATATATAAGAAATCTACATAAACCTTCGTATATTCAAATGGGAATATATTTGTTTCTTTTTTTTATATTCATGTCTGGAAATTGCATGTTTAGAAGCGAGGAAGTCATTTACATTTAACGCAGCAGCAAACGAAATCAATAATTTACTGTTTGCAGCGAAAAGTAGGAATCATAGTTGTTTTCTTTTTGCTCCAAATAATTACATTTGAAAATGTACAAAGGTAACAGAACATTACAGAGTTAATTACTTCAATTAATTATTATTGCATGCACTATATAAAATAAATTACATTTCCTGCCAAGGAGACTAAATTGAAATTGCAATTTTAGTAATATTCTTTATAAATACTTTTTCTTTAAATGTATTAAATTACTGTGCAGGTAAAATACTATATATTCTGTATTAAAGGGATTAAACTTGTATAACTAAAACTGGTCTGTTTTACACTTGTTTAGAGATGCGTACGTGTCCGCCAGAATCACGCAAAAATTAGTTTTTGTGTTCATTGTAAATTCGAAGCGCGTTCAATTTCATGTACAACTGGATATGTCCAGTATTCGTTGTGTGCAGAATACAAAAGATTTGATTATAGATCGAAGCTCCAGGTTAAAGCATTATTGTTTATGTAAGTTATTGTGTCAAAGCTTAGTTTTCAAATCCTTTTAAACGATATATGGAAAGCACCTAATAATTGGTTAATTTTGCAATATCCAATGTCTATAGTCGCGAAAGTTGAAGCTAATTCAATTAAAAACATCGACGACATTATTTCCTTCGCACAGCAGCAAACTTACATCAAAGACGCGAAAATATCAAAAGTGGAAGTTTGCTAGACGTTTCACTATAAATCAATAAATTACCTGCACTTTAACAGATGCGAAACAACGTTTAAGTGGATTGTGGAACGAATGCACTGTTTATTTATTGATCTCTGGAAAGGATTTGTTCCGTGACGCAAAAGCTATACAAGAAATGAAAAAAAGCTTTGATTCTTATAACTATCAACAAAACATAACAAAATTTAACAAGATATTCCGAAAATTGAGATCTTGTTCTTAAAAACAGAACGTTTGTATTTTAATTAACATATATAGTGTCTATAAAAATGTAATTAAAATTCATTTTCATTCTAATTTATAAGCAAATGAACTTAATGTGAAAATTCCTGTTTATTACATTTTTTGTGCAGAATCAAAATTCTGAAGAGTTTTCATTTCTAAATTAATTAAACTAAATTAAGAAGTCCAAAAAAAAATGGTAATTAGTTGTCAATTTTTTATCGGTCAGAATTACAAATGTAGTTCAGTTGACCCGACGCATCCACCAAAATAAATATAGTCATATTGTGTTGCAAAAGTGTTATTATGTTGTAAAACAATACCTCGCATAATCCGGATTCAATGTATACGTATGTCCGGTTTATAAACTTTGTGTTTCTAATCATTGCAGCTGCAACTAAAACTTTGGTGTTTCACATGTGTTTTGCGGGTGCTCAATAAAAACGCTAGTATTTCTAAACTAATTAATTATGTTAAGTAAAATATTAAAATTCTAAACGATAGATTAGAGCGATTAAATACTTACAATACTTTAAGGTTCGGTAGAGCAACGTTGAATACGCCCGGTTGAATTTTCAGCAGTTTCGGAGCTCCGTGGATATACCTGAAACAAAAAATAAAAGATATTTCAATTAAATAATGGTTAGAACAATGTTATTATTAACAATAGATATTCAGAAATAATAACGTTTCCCCACACACAGTTTCCTTAATTGAATAACTAAAGTAATGTTAGTTTTACGAGGAGATGGGTAAAAGAAAAACCTGTCCGTTTTGTTCCTTCCATTCTATTTACCAAAGTTATTATTAGGATAATTTTCATCGCCATTAAATATTACATTCACGAGTTTCGCGACGCCGAAAGTTTTCAAATCATAGCAGACGAAACCCCGCTCTCTCTTCCACTCGAAACAAAGCCAACGTAAGTATCAAAAGAAGAAACCGTTTATACTCAATGATACATAAGATTCATTTCATTCCCTTTCGCCTTTCATTTCATCCGATTAATTACTATCTACCGTTGATTAATTATAGTTGCGTTTGATGTATGTTATATAAAGAAATTACATTTCATTAATAATTTTCTTAATCACATTTCCTTTTATCACTTTTTTTTGTCAATAGCAGTCATGCACATAAGTTCAGTCCGTGTCTTTAAATCTCTCAAACTATAAGCATCGTATTTATAAGTACATAATTTCCAGGTTACTGCGAGCGCCATATGCGGCCCGCGGGCCACCACCATCGTTTAACACTTACAGAGTCTGCAGCTCGTTTAAATTGAAGAATACACCGGCCTCGAAGAAGTAGAACTCTTCCAAATTCACCAATATTCTGAAACAAGAAAACTTTGTATGTAATATAAACAAATTAATGTAAAAAAACGGCTTCGAAATGCAGTTTTGTCTAAACTACGTTGGATTATCAATCCATGAATCATAAACATGATTATTACGTGCACTACGTCGGATATCGCATGGGATACATTTGTATCCCACATTAATGACTTGCTCACAGTACACAATTGTCTTGCGTCAAATTTACTTTTTAGAAGAAACGGTAATGAAGTAAAAATATAAATTGACTTGAAATTCGCACATGAATTGATGTTGCATGGGATATATTTGTATCCCACACTAATCACTTGATAATAGTACCCAATTTAACATAGTTAATTTATAATGTACAAAAATTATTCTGTCATATTTGGGATACAATTGTATCCCACACGTGTACTATAAGACTTAACACTTGATTGTAAAAAAAAGTTTCCTTCACCATTTAGTTTAACACATAAAAAATTAATTAGTGCTTAATAGAAAATTAAGTTAACAATATCGAAATCTTCGGATCAAACTGTGATGTATAATATTAATCATTTCGAATACTGACTGAAGCAGATGCCCCATATATGCACACATATTTGTCTCGAGGACGACAAAGCTAAAGTCTATCATGATAGTGATTCCATTGAGGCAAGTATCAAACTTTAATTAAGCCCCGCAGCTAAAACCCCTTTAATCTCAAACCATAACAGATTGATCTGCTTCTAAACTATTTCATTATAACCAGTTAAGTTAAATTGCTACATTATTGATAAAACTATAAAAAAAACACATCACATTTCGCTTTATTTTATATAATTATTTTGCAATTTTAAGTGAAAATCACAAAGTGGTTTTATTCGCTTCAAATGTTTCCAGTAGAAATGATTTATTTCATGCATTCGTGTCGGCTGGGATTTAAGCTTGCGTGAAATAGTTTTCTTGCAAAGTCGATGATGGATGGACTCGCATTTATTTGAACACCGTAAATGCACTTTCATTCATCTCGAAACAGACATTTTCGTATTTCACGTATTATCATTTCAATTACAGAAAATAAACTGATCAATCAATTTTGATTTCATCTTTAAAATAAAATGTTTTTCAATTTCTATTATATAGTATTAAGTCTGCAAATTCCGCACCGTTTGAAACCGGACTTATCGAGGATTTTAAATAGAGTATAGATAAAGAACATTTTACTGATTGAAACCGTTTTAAGTGAGGTATTGCTGTATAAATCTAACGAGAGGATACTTTTCAGAAAGACTAGCGCCAGGGATCTAGCTCAGGCTTTTGGAAAGTTCTATTCAACACCATATTCGATGCTCCTCTTCCACCCGACGCGCTGAAAGCATTGAGCAGCTGGACAAAGTCTGCCAAGTTAGCAAGTTGAACTTCCCAGAATTCGCTGGCAGATCAACTGGCTAAATTTGCATCTGGTGCTGATGACATGCAAGTGACTAGTCTTCTACGTTAAGTACTCAAGTCGCTGATCTCTTGGGACTCGGCCGAAGCTTGGCAGAGAAGGTGGAGCAGCTCTGAGACTGGTGTCTGGACCAGATAATGTATCCCGTCCATCGCGGAATGGCAGAGGAAGAAGCTCGAGCTCCCTTACCAGGCGGTACAACTGATCACGGGGCATGGCAAATTTGGACACTACCGAAAGCGATTCAAGTAAACAGAGTCATCGGATTGTGCCTGTGGCGAAGAAGAGGACACAGTCCAGCATTACTGGTTTCGCTGCCTTTTGCACACCACCTGGTGAAGCAGCGCAGAGAGGCGAATGACTCTACAAGGCCTATCATGGCCACGTAGCAAAGAAGATGTCATCGAAATCGCAGAGGAAGGCGCCGATGGTGGTGTGCGTTTGGTCGGGAAGCCAAATGTCTCTAGAAACTTGAGCACGACCATCACAAAGGATGTACAATAATACCTCGTATTATTCTATTATATATTTATTATGTTTTGTTAGTTTTTATAGTTTTCTTAAGAATGTGCTATGCCTTTGCAGCCCAATAAATAAGTTCTATACATTTTTTTATATATATTTATATATTTTCTGTTTATAAAACTTGTAGAAAAGTTGCAAAAAAAGAGGTTTTAAACTTATGTGATGAAATATGAATGTAATCATTTGTGAAGTTTGTTATCTGAGATAATTAGGAGATTCTGAAGCAGCAAAAACTATTCGACCCAAATAAATTACAGCAAAGTCCATTAGCACTTCGACAAGAAATATAACCGCCAGTTGTTAATTCGAGTGGCTCATGGAATTTTCATCAACAATAATAACAACACTTTTAACACTCCCCGTTTCATCGCTAATGATTTAATTATTTCTCGTTTATTAAAATTACTGTGAAAAATCGATATTTTATCTGAAGAAGATAAAGTATATGTTCATTTACAGATTAATACAAACTTTTTAATGATTATAGTCTAATTATATAAGTTTAAATTTTTTTATTTCAAACGTTTCTAGCGTTGGCTGTGCCGAAAAAAATATTCGTTGTGGGCCTCAGTAGGCCGCGATTTTGACATTATTATTATAGACATAAGTGTTAATCTACTTTTTTTTTAAATGGCTGTAAATATTACAAGATTTTCAAAAGCAGATTTATGTTATACAATTGCTTGACTTTCTTTAATTATGTTTACTATTATTTGTTATAAATGCTTCATGGGCTAATAAAGTTTATTTCCGTTTTAATATCAAGAAATTATCGTTTATCGCACCGTGAAATCTGTTTGAAATTAGTAATTGAATCAATTTAAGCGAATACATTTTGTAATACAATTGTGTTATTCGAGCATTTCCGTTTGATATTTACATGCATAAAAATTGATTCAAAAGCAATTACGTGACATTTATACGCACAAACAGTTGAAATTAACTAGTTGCGTTCACCGATCCAAAAAAAAATCGTTTCTCTTGTAAATTTACAGTGAAAAATGTACGTAAATGATCTTTGTAAATGACTAATTGGAATTATTATAAACAACAACGCAAAGCTTGCAATAAAGGAAACAAAATACGGAATTATTTCGCTTCGATCAGTGCGGATTCATTATATAGTACGGTTTGAAAATTTTAAAACAAACTAAATTTTAATCGAGCAAATTTAATTCTAAAAGAATGATCAATTTGTCTCTTCTTACATATTTTCAAGTCATTAAAAACCCATAAAGATAATTTCAATTTATCGAAAACCCATAGAGATATTTTCATTGTGAAAACTCGTCGGATCTCTGCGAAACAGCGATTATTAAGAAAATCCTATTCACTTTTTTTCCAATTTCTACAGCAAATTATTAAAAACCCATAGAGATTTTCAATTTATTTTAAAAAAAACCATGGAGATATTTTGAAGCCTCTTTATTGTGCGGTTTTAAAGTTCTCGGTTAGTCCGGTTTCAAACAGAAACTGTGCAGTATATTTTTTTTCGTGCATTAAAGGCTATTTCGAAATTGTATGCATTTGGATTACACGGTGTAAATAATTATAGAGCTACACGAGTTCCATGTTTTGCACGTGCATTGATTACAGGTAAATCCGTTTCTCGTTATTTCCATAGTTACAAACTCGATTTACAATCAAATTTAATTCTATTTACTATATTTGAATTATTCTTTATATTAATTCGATTTTAGAGTAAAATAATTTTGGAAGATTCTTAACGTTTCTCTAGATTTTAAGAAAAGTGTCGGATATCCAAAATTTATAAAAAGTTTTCATAAAACTCTTATATAATATTGAAATTAGGTATGGAAAATGTGACTTCTATACTTAGAAAGCTAAATACCTGGCACAGTGCGGATTCACTGTAAAAATTTCACAAAAAAAAATCTAAATTTTAATTGAGCAAAATACAAATAAATTCTTAACAATTATATACATAAATGATCGTTTTTTTTCGAATCCTCGATTAGTACGGTTTGTGGAACCAATTACCCGCACTATGCGAGGTATTTCTGTTTTCTCATTTAATCATCTATACTTCGTTTGTAGACTTTTTCGTTTAAAACTTACGTACTAACATTTATAAATTACTTTTACATAATCTATAATTATATTACAACCATATATCTGATTCGATCAGTGCGGATTCGCTATAGTACGATTTGAAAATTTCACGAAAAAAAAAACAAACAAATATTCAATTAATATAAAATACAAATAAAGTCTTTTTTGTCTGGTTTTAAACGCCTCGATTAGTGCGGTATTGATTTAGAAACAAAATTGAAAATCTAGCGACTATATAGTAAGAACCGAACTAAAGTTTTATATAAAAATTATCAATTACATCAATTTCGATATTGTTGCAATAATCGATGATTAAGCAGTAAAATGCACATGGAAAGAAGATCCGGTATATCCATTTACGAAATAAACGTACATTTTCCGGAAGAGACATACACATACACAGAGAGAGAGAGAAAGAGAGAAATATATAGAGAAACGAGTCGTGCAATCAATTTGAACCGTGAAATAGTAGAGCACACATTCTGCGAAGAGAGCGAAAATAAAAGGGGGAAAAAAAGCAAACAGAAATGGAAGATAAATTCGTCACGTCACATGGTTCGTCGGAGAGACCAAAGCGACATGAAATTCAAATAGTAGAACGCAAAAATAAATATAAATAAATTGGAAAAAAAAGGAGGAAAAACGGAACACTAGTTAATGTACTTTTATTTCACGTCGAGCAGGCAGATTTACGTGAAATTAAAGAGCATCAATTTGCGTGCACTTAAAAATTTTGTAACTATGTTATGCTTACAGTTCCTTCAGGCTGTTAGCGTACGGCCGCAGCGAATCCCTTTTCAGCACCTCAATTCCTGCTTTATCTATTGATCTGCAAAACAAAACAAAAATACAAAACTATTTGTTATATTTTATTTAAATTATTAAATTTTATAATAAATTAATGTATTAAAAAAATAGACTCAAAATTATATTATATATTAGTTATAAACAAATTGATTTGATTACAGTTGAAAAAGTTCGAATTTCTGTGAATGTTTTGATGATCACTACATATTTTATAGATTAGTTATAAAACCGCACTAATTGAGGACTTTAAAACCGCACAAAAAAAGAAACACATTATGTAAAATGTTCAAATCTATATTGAATCCGGACTGATCGAAGCCGCTCTAGACGAGCTATTACTGTATTTCTAATAATAAATCTTGAATTGTAGTATTTAAATAACTTTTGTTTGAATGAAAGTCTATGATTAAATTTTTCGCATTTCTGTAAATGTTTCATTACATACGTATTTTACATATTGGTTATAAAACCGCACTAATTGAGGACTTTAATACCGCACAAAAAGAGATGTAACTGTATAAATCGAAACACATGTAAAATGTTCAAATCTATATTGAATCCGGACTGATCGAAGCCGCACTAGACGAGGTATTACTGTATTTCTAATAAGAAATCTTGAATTGTAGTATTTAAATAACTTTTGTTTGAATGAAAGTCTATGATTAAATTTTTCGCATTTCTGTAAATGTTTCATTACATACGTATTTTATAGATTGGTTATAAAACCGCACTAATTGAGAACTTTAAAACCGCACAAAAAGAGATGTAACTGTATAAACTGAAACACATTATGTAAAATGTTCAAATCAATATTGAATCCGGACTGATCGAAGCCGCACTAGGCGAGGTATTACTGTATTTCTAATAATTAAACTTGAATTGTTGTATTTAAATAACTTTTGTTTGAATGAAAATCTATGATTAAATTTTTCGTATTTCTGTAAATGTTTCATTACATACGTATTTTATATATTTGTTATAAAACCGCACTAATTGAGGACTTTAAAACCGCACAAAAAAAGAAACACATTATGTAAAATGTTCAAATCAATATTTAATCCGGACTGATCGAAGCCGCACTAGGCGAGGTATTACTGCATTTTTAATAAGTAAACTTGAATTGTAGTATTTAAATAACTTTTGTTTGAATGAAAGTCTATGATTAAATTTTTCGCTTTTCTGTAAATGTTTTGAGGATACTTCATTACATGTGTATTTTACATATTGGTTATAAAACCGCACTAATTGAGGACTTTAAAACCGCACAAAATGAGATGAATACAATAATTTAATTTGTATTTGTAATTGTCTTTAAATTAATCAAATTTCATAAATTAATTAATGTCGGTTATTGTGTTACAGGTTTGGAATATCGTAGGTAGATGCAGTAAAATTGAATCTGAGCGTCGCGTCGCGTTGCATTGCATTGAATCGCAGATAATTTCTACGTCCGAAACAGAAGCCTCGGGATAATAATAATAATAATAATTAATGTAGGAAGTGCTTGCAAGTCGATTCCCCTTTCAGCTGTGTAGCAGCAAACGATCGTTTTATCCGGATGAACCCAAGAAATGTCTGCATTAACATCCAACCGCCATCCCTTAGAAACTAATTATCAACATACAATGCGCAACCTTACAGGATTTTCAACGGTTTAGGAAGATTCGTGGGAACATCCTTTAAACCTAATCCGGTACATCTGCAGGCCGCCTTCTCATCCTCGCAAGAGCAATCGTCCAGCGTCTGTCCGCTCGCTGGAATACCGATGAATATCCTTTCGTTCGCCTCACTCCAAATAGTCAGAAACCATAGAACTAATCTGTAACGAGAGAATGTAATAATATTATTCTTAATTTCATTTATTGATTCAATTCAATGTGTGAAATTTGGAAATGGATACAAAAAATAACGATTTTACATTTAGAAACCGGTTTTCAAAAAAAAAATGCTTTTCATATGATTTTAAAAAGAACGTTTATAAGTCTATTTTTAAACCGTTTCTTTGTTTTGACTAAAGTCTGACGTTGTTATAAATCATTTTTTTTTCATTATTTCTTCTTAACTTGTTTAAGTGTATTAGAGAAGTTTTCTATAACTTTTTTAAAACTACGCTTTAATTTTCTTCTACGCCACTTTTTTCATCATCCCGGTCATCTTTTATACACTAATTTGGATATAATCTCGATAATATTTGTCCAGTATTTAACAATATTCCCGTTTTATGCTATAGAGGATTCTGTATCAAATCGTTGATGTTTATTTTAATAATAATTCATTCATATTTTTTATATTTTCATGTCTAAATTAAAGAAAAACCGGTTTATTAATTGGTAATAACCGATTTTCAAATTATATAAATTTCTTTAGAAAACACGAAATTTTGTAGAAATAAATAACAGAATTGTATAGAATGTAATTACAATGAATAATTTGTAGAAGAGAGTAATTTATTTGATTGTACAGTAGTAATTCATAGTACGAAATTAAGTTATGAGACAAAAGTAATTGAGATGGTTTCGGATAAAGTCCCGAGCGTCTCCTGTGACGGATTCCGTTGCAGTTTAATGCTCTTTATCTGAACGAGAAATATGAAAATGTCAGTTTATACCCGCTCTTCAAGGCACACATTTTTTGTTGTTGTCTATCCCTAGAGAATAGCCGTTTAAACATACATATGTAAGAAATGCACTAGATATTAATAATACAGAATGATGCAGCAGTTATTTACAAACGCGAATGTTACGTAACTTCCAATACATTTATTACTGAATCGATATAATTTGAGTGCATTTATTGAGAATAAATGCAAACAATCTGCTGTAACGAATGATAAACAATATTCAATGGGCCGTTGTTTTGTATTATTAATTACGTGAGTGCAATGCACACGTTATGCTCGAATGCACGAAAAAAAAAAGAGAGTAATAAATAAATAAAATCGAAGAGTTCTCAATAATCCGTTTTGCTTTTAGTGCTTGAACATGTTGATGGCGCTCGTTATCAGCGGTTTATTGTTCATTGAAACAAGCCTCAATATAATATTGTACACATTCTATTACCGCTGTTCGGTTAACGTACACAAACACAATTTATCGTAATTAAGATGATAAATATTTTTGTATTGTTCGCACATCTTTCAAACAGGTTATATATTTCAATTATTTCAATTAAAAATATTTTTTCGACAAATTGAGTTTCAGAACATTCTCTTTGTACAATACTCGATTTCTCCGGCTGAAGGTCGTAAATAATCATGTACAGTCAACCCTCCTATAACGCGGTACTCTCAGAACGCGGTTTCATATAACGCGGAGCTGAAATTGCGACAGTCCCATAAGTCCCATCAACGCTTAATTCGTGTTGAAAACCTCTTTTACCTCAAATGGTTCAAGCAATACAAGATGATTCTACAATTTCACTCCCAGTTACACAAATACTAAACATTGCTTCTCGTTTAAGCGATGAAGAATTTGCAGTAAACCATCAGGATGTAAGAGAACTAGTACTCGGGGAAGAAACTTTAGATGAGGAAGAACTGATGGAATTAATTGATGAATCCACCTCAAATGCATTGGTAAACGAAAATAAGGAAAACGAATGGGTGCCAAATCTCGATTTACAAGATGTAAAAAAAGGGCTAAATTTGGCTAAAAAATTAGAACTTCATTTCATTCAAACTGATTGTTCAACGGTGCGCAGCGTTTCTGTTGAAAAACAGTCTTTTAGTTTAGTTCTTGTTTCATTTTTGTTATCAATCCTTGTATGAACTCTTCAATTCAATTCAATAAAAATAATTTATAATTTATCTTATCTTTTGTATTTATTGGTCTCCATATAACGCGGTACGAATGATGTGATTTGTACTAATTCCGAGTTTCTTATAGCGCGGTTTCCATATAATGCGGTACGCACTCACCGCGTTATAGGAGGGTTGACTGTATTTATGAACGTTACGTCAAAAGGATGATGTTAAGAGAGAAAATGTCTATATGAAATGATTAAATAACGTATTTAAATTGATGTATGCACGAAATTACAATACTTTCAATGTATACTTTGTAAATTGAAAACAAAAATGTCGTTTGGGATTTAATGCAAAGGGCTTTAGTTGTTCCTAGGATTCTCGATTCCGTCGAGGAGAGAGCAAAAGCTGCCTTCGTTTGCTTTATATTTAATGAAATTTTCGTTTTTCGTTGGGACTGAAAGTCCGGGGAATTCTAGCTGTCCCTTGGGGCCTCGAGGACGGAAACATTGCATTATATAATATATATCGAAAAGCGGACCCCGAAAGTTTCGGCGGTTTCACGCATACCAAACTGAAATCGTCTCAGAACTATAATCGGGCTTCAGTAAGTTTCGGACATGTTAAATAGGCCAAAATTGACATGCTTCAAAGCAGTGGTTTCCAACCCCTGGTCCGCGGGTCTATACCGGTCTGTGGATCAAATGGTACAAGGAAAATTAAATTATTTTCATTTTATTTTAAGTCACTAGAATCTAGTGAGTTAAATGTTAAATCACTTTATATTCATATAAAGCGGGCCGCGGTAAAGTTATCAAACGTTGACAGGTCTGCGGCGATAGAAAGGTTGGGGAGCACTGCTTTAAAGGACAGAATGTTATGCAACAATATACAGATACAATAAAATATTTACAAAGCCGAAAAAAAACTAGTCAATTTTATGTTTGAAACATGTCAAATAACACTATTAAAAGAAAGAAATATCATAGAATCAATATTCTGTTGTTTGCATATTTATTATAAACTATTATCACAAATACAGATAATATTATTTTAGTAATTATAGCGCTGCACGTTTATCTTTTCAGCCTGAAAATTGTGTTCGAACAATTAGTGAAACTTCTCGAACAAAAATCCAACATGAAAACAGAACATGTACGAACAGAACCAAGTGGGACCAGTTCAGAGGCTGAAGTCGGAGGAAGACTTGGAAAATGCGATCAAAGATCTCACCCGATCCATGCAAGCAGCTGCATGGAGCTCTACACCTTCACCATCATCCATCCGAACCAGCTACAAAGGTCCAGCAAACGTACGTAACCTCGTAAAATAGAAACAAAGGCTGAGGAAGATTTGGCAAACCACCCACCATCCGGATGATAAAACTCGCTTGAATAGAGCCAATAAACAACTCAGGAACTTATTAGAGAGCCAGAGCAACCAGACGCTGCACGAGTATCTTGGTAGTCTGTCTCCTACTGGAAGTAACGAACACTCACTGTGGAAGGCGACCAAGCATACGAAGCAACTGAAACAGAAAGAGTCGCCTGACCATCTGACAAACGTGTTTCAACCTTTCCCGGCAGGACTTTCAGGGGAAGAGAAAAACGAGATAATGGAATTTCTGGGACTCCATACCAAATGTCACTTCCCATTGCTCAATTTAATGTGAAGCAGGTTAAGCTAACTATACTAGTGTTAAAGCTAAAAAAGCGCCAAGATATGACCTGATTACAGAGTTCGTGAATGACATGGCACTGTGAAACAGGTGCATCGTGTGGTGGATGTGATTGGCAAAAGTCTTGAGGAGAAGAGGTGCTGCTCTGCCGCTTTCCTCGACATCTCTCAGGCGTTCGACCGAGTAAGGCATGGAGGATTGCTATATAAAATTAAAAAGTGTCTCCCACATGAATATTACGTCATATTCAAATCGTACTTGACTGGGAAGCACTTCTAGGTCAAGCACAAGAACGAAATGACCTCGCTACGCCCAATCCTATCTGGTGTCCCGCAGGGAAGTGTTTCTGTACCCTTACTTTATTTGATCTTCACGGCTCATCTACCAACTCTTCAGTACGCCACTATAGCCACATTTGCTGATGACACCATTGTTCTAGCATCCCACCAAAACCGAACTACGGCCTCACAGATACTCCAATCAAGTCTGAACAGCATAGAACATTGGTTCAGAAAGTGGAGAATTAGGGCTAATGAAAATAAGTCGGTGCATGTAACGTACACAATGCGTCGACAAACTTGACCATCCGTTACACTGAATGGCAGTGCCTTACCACAGGCTGATGATGCGAAGTATCTTGGCATGCATCTGGATCGTCGACTCACCTGGAAAAATCATATTACGACAAAAAGAAAACAGCTGGTACTGACGGTAAAAATATTGCATTGGCTGATGGGTAGATACTCATCCATCTCAGCGGAAAACAAAGTTTGAATATATAAAACGACAATAAAACCGATATGGACTTATGGTTTACAAATATGGGGATCTGCTTGTAATACAAGCATTGACTTCATACAGCGGTTCTAGTCAAAAACGCTCAGAGCAATTGCCAATGCTCAATGGTTCTCGACTAACATTCATCAATACACTGGAGTCCGAGTTGTGAAGGATGAGATAACGGAACTCAGCAGCAAATACCAACATCGGCTGGAGGACCATCCAAACCAACTTGCCTATGAACTTACACAAACTGAATCTCATCGACGAAGATTGAAATGATTCAAACCACAGACCTTCCTAATCGCTTTTAAAGTTACTGTTAGTGCCTAAATTGACAATAAGACTTGTTTACGTGTATGTGTTCGTGAATTTTTCTTTAATGAGCACTCTGTGGAGTTTGGTCGCTGGATCAATCTCCAATATATATTTTTAATTTTTTATCAGAACAAAAGCAGGCTATCTGTTTTTTTCTTTTTATTGTTAATAGATTGCTTTGAAAATAATAAAAAAAAATCCGAACATAATTTCCACATTCCGCAATTCATTTTAATTATGTTTGGCTGTTGAATTATTTATTAATTGACCTATATTAAATAACCACATAAAATTTCATCGA